TGGTAACTGAAAAGCCATCTGAAGCAGGTCGATCAGATTGTTCGTTTAATTTTTCATACGGAAATTATGGTTTCTCTATTAAAATATTGACAGATGTTTCCTTCACTTATACAGAAAAAGAAATTCAGCATCGCTGTTCACTATCGTTTAAGCCTAATAGGATAAGATTTCTACCATCTCTTTTATAGTCTAATGGATGTCGTTGCTTCTGTGAACAGCTTGTACGAGGTTCGAATTATTGACGTCGCCGTCCTTTGCGAAAATGCACATCTTAAGCATTTTGTTTTTGGCGACACTACGGTACCTGCGGAAGTTTCCCGCGTCCACTGCCGTTGCCGTCCTGGCCTTCCCGTCCTCGTATCTTAAGGTCCCTTATAGCTAACCGCAAGCAGCCAGTTTTGCTTAGGCCTAAAACAGTATTTTTAAGCTTTTTAAACTAGAGAACAGGTCTAAATCGCTATTATTTTAAGCAGTTTTAAGCCTGCGTTCAGTTTAAAAATACGGTATATGCGCCCAAAATTATGATATTTCGTTTCGGTTTTCCATAATTTAGACCTAAAACTCGAAAAATTATTCGAAGTCTCCAAGAAATCGTTCCGTTTTTGCGTATTTTAGATAGAAAATTCGAAAAAAATCTAAGTCTAAAAGTATGCGACACGAAAAAAAAGGTAAAATTTAGAGTTATTCAAATCAGATAAGTCTCAAAGGAGCGCTGTTGTTTTCGCTATTGTTTAGTTAATGTTTAGTTAAACAAAGAGCTGTATACATAATAAATGTATGGGGTTATACGGAAATCTTGCCGAATAATTCGACATCATAAGGACACAAACACTATATTTATGACCATGATTGCACCTGAATCAAAATTTCAGAGGAAAGAGGGAACAAGCAAAAGCCTGAAAGCCTGGAGCGTGACAAAGTTCTCCTGTGAAATCTTGCTTGGGATTAGCAAATATATACCTGACGTACGCTCCTCCATGTCTGGTTTAAAGCGCATTTTCAAACCGTTACTGTAGGGAAGGACGGCTGAAGTGACAGCAACAGCGCAGTAAATTTAAAAACTGAGGCAACACTGGCACTGTGGCTACAAAGAAGCACGAAACATAAAATACTGCTAACTGCAATATTTTCTCGCTCGGAATATAATTTTTAAGCAACTGCAAACAGGGCTGTGGAAACTGGCCGGAGTCTAGGTAAAATTGCTTAGAAAATTGAAAATTCATTTCCTCATCATNATAAGATTTCTACCATCTTTTTTATAGTCCAAAGGATGTTTGAATTATTGACGGCGCCGTCCTTTGCGAAAATACACATCTTAAGCATTTTGCTTTTGGTGACACGAGGGGACCCGCGAAAGTTTCCCGCGTCCACTGCCGTTCCCGTCCTGGCCTTCCCGTCCTCGTATCTTAAGGTCCCTATTGCTCCGACAATACGGCAAGGTCCTGGTTTGGGATTTTCCATTTAAGACTTCACTATCGTTTAAGATGAAGTAGTTGATCAACTCCAGTCAGTCAAGCTTTCTTTAATCTATAATCTTTAATCTTAAGTCCTCTTTAGACACGGTAAAAAATTCATCAGGTTTTACAAATATATGATTAGTCCTGAAAAAATTTAGTTGATTTAAATCTCTAAAAGCCAGAGCCCTAGGGAATGCTCATAGCCTTTCATCTTTCAGTGAAAACGCTCATTAAAATACAACAATTAAAAAAAAAAAGGTTTAATGAAACTGTAAAAAGGTTACAAATGGAAATGAATGAAGATCTGCAAGACTTTTTTGATTAACAACTTTCCTGGACTGAAATTTTTTCCTGAACAAAATGCAGTTCTGGTAAAACATCTAAGAGTTGCATTGAGTCTATGAAATCAATAAGGCAGTGAATACACCAAACAGCAAAAAGGCTTGGTCCGCGGCTTACACCATTAGTGCCAGACCCAGGGCAGAGCATGCGGTCAACAGGATGACGTTGAAGGAGACATGTGAGCCCACGTTGCATTCGTCCTCGTCACAGCAGCTAACCTTGCAAGTCACGCCGTTATACTCACCACAGCCGATTATCGCCGTATTGCAGCCCACCTGGTTAGTACAGGAGTTCGACACCAAGGTCGCGCTATCCTTCTTGCGAAACCTCCTCATACATTTGTCATATGACGAACCGCAGTCTATCAAATACTTGCTCTTGTCGCCTTCCAGAGTGCTCTTTTTACAGTCATCTTCAGTGCCACTGCATATATAACACTTCAAAGCCGTCACTGATCAAGAAGAAGAGAAACAAGAAAAC